TTAAATCATTTTATACTGTGCTTGACTATTTTCTAAAAACTAATAGAAAGATATCTATGCCTTTATTTTGGACAGAAAATATAGTTAGAATTAATAGAAAAATTAATAGACTAGAAAATAAAATTAGAATATTAAACGATTGTTTTGATAAAAGATATTTAGATAAATACGAGCATAATTAACCTTTTCATTTATTAGGAGAAATGCATCAAAGTTATCCTATATTGGGAATAGAGAACCTTGACTTAACTAAAGAATAGAAGAGAGACATTTATGTCTTTTTATCAAATTATGGCATCCCTTAAGTCAACCACTATGTTACCATAGCAAGATCCTTATATAAACTACTAGTTTTTGGCCCGTGAAATGCACGAGTTGTGTTATTTTGAAAGTAATATAGCGTTTTGAACGTTAACGATTGATGCGATATTATAATACAAAATTTTCACACATATTTGTATAGTTCAATGGTCCATAATTCGGAGAAGTATAATATATGCCTCTTGATTCCAACAAGTTGTCTATCTTAAGCTTTTCCTTAAGTCTGCTTCAACATTTCTTCTGTGATGCATGCCAAATATTGAACCCATAAGGTGTGATAAGATGTTGTTACCAAAGTCACTGCTCATGGATCTGAGATAAACATAAAACTAGTTAAAAATATATTTTTCCTTATTTGTCTGTTCTCAATTGGAAAAGGATAAAGGTTAAAAAGTATCCATTCACTTATATCACCCTTAACTGGTCATTCCTGCCCCCACCCTTTATTGGAAATGGGGGGATGCTTAGGAGGAGGAATTGAATAAAATGATGTTATTACTGAACAATGCTCAACATACTTGCGATTGGACATGCAAATAAGACACATAAATTATTCAAGAATACAATGAATAATACTCAGATAAATGAAATCGCCTTTCTCATCTAATTTGAAGGGCAAGTATGGGGTGAAGAGGACAACTTATTGCATGGAAAGGCTGCACACTTAGGATATTTGACATCGAAAATGAAATAATTTTTTTCTTGTAGCAAGTATGGATCGATAAGATTTTATTGTAGCAATGGATGGGATATCGACGTGCCAGATGAGCCATGACACATTCAGATTTTTTCTAATTGTGATTTCCAGCAATCCCATTTTTCTTTGAAGGATGCGATCTCAGATTCTGCATCGTACAATGAATCATTGCTTCCTTCAAATTATTTCGAAACAGACTCCATAGATTCTAAAGTAGATCTCTCCAATTTCTTTGCTTCCTCCGCCTGAACTTTTCAAGTGAACAAAATATCAATCAAGTAAACCAAATATCGCGGGGGTCGAGGGGGTAGCGCCCCTCGTGGGGGTTCCGGGGCAACGCCCTCAACGGGGATCGACCTGTCCGGTTAGGTCACTGAGGTTGAGGGGGCAGCGCCCCTCGTCGGGGTTCGAGGGCAACGAACAGTGTGGAATCTTCGGATTTTTTTTTTTAGGTTTTTTCTTTCTTTTTATTTCAAGTGCTAACAATAATTTACGAGAAAATGATTTCTATCTTGTATTCCAATTGTTATATACAAGTCTTTCCATTAGAATGATATATTGACACAATCTTTAAGCTAAAAAATGAAATTTATTGCTAAAGTTTTACTTGTAATTAAAATACCATAATCTACAAGTAGAATTGGATAACATGTAAATGTGCATTTAGATACATTATTTGGTACAAGAAAAAAGAAAAGAAAAGCAAAAAAA